TTTACTAGTAGAGGATTTTCGGATCAGTTTAGCCCGTTCTACCTACGAGTGTTGTCAGTTGAATTTCCTAACACCCTGTATATCTACATATTAATGAACTTTCATTAGAGTAAATATCCATGGAAAAGAAGTCAGAAATATATCTTTTCAGAAATATTTCTTTTATCGTCGTAAAAAAGTGATAAATTTAACATTATATCCATGTTAAGCTTGCATTGACTTGGGCGATGGCAATTTGAAATGCAAACTTAGGTAAAATTGTTTTCTTTACAAATTTTATATTTTTGTTATAATTTTTTAATGAAGTATTTGAAGACTATGTACATTTATATGTATAACATTTTTTTCTTCTTTTAGCTCATAAACGTATTAATTTATAATATTTTGGCACATATCGACACGATTAAATATCTCGTAAACTACCCATTTTTTTTATAATCGTACCTTAATACTTTTATCTACAAACGTAGAGTACAATTAAAAATCTTTATTAAACATTGTCTTTCAACATTAATGACCTTATTATAAAAGTGTATTCTATTATAATATTTACTGCCAATATTGAAAATATATAATTCATATTACAGATTTTCAGTATTAGCAGCGAGTATTGAAATACAGCCTAAAATACACAAGACTAAAATACAAGACTATTTCTATTAATGTAAAATATTTCTAGCCAACTACGTATATATAAAAATAATGCTATTTATTGAATAATTATAAAGATAATAAGGAATTGAAGGTAACAACTGGTGAATTCATATTGTTATCATTACAGATAGAAAAAGTAACGACCCACACAGCACAGAAGATTGAAGCAATATTGTAGCTTGCAATGTAACATTGCAGAGATATTACAGAAATATAAATATAATTAACAATATGCCTGCAAAATGTCAGTAATATGCTTGTAATATTCCACAAACATTGCAAAACTGTAATTCTTCAATTGTTACAATAATAATAATATAAAAATATAAGTTTTTACAATATTTATGTAGTATAATCTTTTAATTTAACAGTCGTTTTTATGATATAATAATTAATATAATCTATTTTATATTTAAATAAAAAATTTATTGATCTGTCGGCTAATCTAATTTCATTAGCTAAGTTTTATATTTATTTTAAATATGAAATCAAAATTGTATAATATTGAGTTTGGATACAATCAATGCATCATTATCGGATAAGATGATAAGCAATTAAGCTGAAAACGATTTATCGAAATATTAATTATGTGATCGATAATGTATTTATGCCTGTGATGTGAACGCAAGAATAAACCAGCGCCTAAACTTTATTGATAAATTTCATACTGTCATTTTTTAATCGATTTCAATTGACTCGGAGTAGTTTCGAATTAAAAAGAATCACTGCGATTAACTTAATCCATGATCCGATTAACTTACCAAGCGACTGTATTATTATATTAATGTGGATAATATTTATAGTTTGTTCGGGACATACACATGCATGCTCTATCTTCACGAATAAATTTAAATCCTTCGGAATTAATACTATATTTATTGAAATATTTTATAGTTTTATCAGAAAAAATTGCTTTTGGAAAGCACATATCACTAGAAATGCGATTTGTAGAAAAATTAAAGTTAGTGAAATGTATTTATATAGAAATAGTTTTCATTTTAGAGTCTTCGTAAAAAATTTATCCAAATACATTATATTGCAATGTTGCTGGAACATTTTATTGCAATACAACAAAAAACGGACATCTTAACATTGTTGGAATTTTGCAACAATGATTCAGCAACGTTTCGCAACTATCATGCAATATTGCAATGTTTCCGCAACATGTCTCTTTCTGTGCTGTATGGGGACCGAAAACAATAAGGTGCCTTTCATTTAACGACACAAGTCGACATAATCGTTTATTGTGTCTTTCTTTTCGTGAGTGATAAAGGCAGAACGATATTTGTGTCGACTTTATATCATTAGATGGAAAGCATTCACAGTAACGATAACAAAAAAAAAGAGGTAATATTTTACAAGTAATATTTTACTTTCCAACTTTGCTCATCGGTAAATGTGCTTAATTATTCAGGAAAAAGTAGATATGTGACGCAATCATATTACACACATACACACATGCACACATTATTTTACCTACTTCAATTCGATGATGATTCAAGTCTCTGCGATTAATGATGACGCAATTAAAATCGTTCACGATTGACGTAATATTGAACGAATCATCCATCTCCACTTACAAGCGTTAAACATTCACGCTTGTTAACGCTCGTATGTATCATTTCATCTTTGTTTAACATTTGATGATAACAAGAACGAAATTATATCCGCGAGCGTTGCAAATATAATTAAAAATGTGAAATACATTTTAATTAAAGTCGTTTCGCTTGAATTCGCGCTTTCGTATTATAGTTTTAATAAAAAAGAAAAAAAACCATCTCGCGTAATAACGCAATGCGGGATCGATTGTTTTCAAGGTCGAGAACTGAAACCGAAGTATAGATTTCGCGAACAAGTATAATACGACAAGTGTAATGTGTTTCATGAATATTTATATAGTATACCTGCAGTCTGCAAGTGCAGATTGTAATCATGTAGTTTTGACGAAATAATCTAATCTTTTTGCTTTGCGATAAGGAAACGATGTTACACGCATGTCGTTCCTTTTCCGTCGCTGTTCGATTTTTAATTATTAACTTAATTTATAAATCTGAATTTTGATTTATTTTAGAAATAAAAGTCGATGTAATCGTACAATATTACTTTGTCGGAGAATTGCAACATATAACGTAATTATTTCTTTAAATTATACTTTTTTGCTTTTCTCCCAGCTTCTGGCAACATTGCAATTATAGGACGGAACACGGAACGCCGCCGCAATCGTTTGCTATGCGCGCGCGCGCGCGTGGTGTGTGTATGTGTGTGGTGTGTGTGTGTGTGTGTGTGTGTGTGTGCGTGTGTGCGTGTGTGTCGAAGCGTACGCCAAGGTTATCTTATCTCACACATCTGTATAAGCCACATTGATTGAGGATATACATCCTATTCCTCACGGACACGGGTGATTAAATTCTTAATGTAGTAATATCAATATAATACTTACAGAATTCTGAATAAGAGTAACCTCTCCTTCGTGACCCATTATTGTTAAATTAAAGTTAATGGTGAATTTCCTTTTGAAAGAGCAAGAGCGTTACCGAACGTTACCAAGCGTTACTGGTTACCACTAACGATCATTAAGGAATAACGATTGCTGCTGAGCTGACGCTGACCATTGCTGACGTCTACGTTAAAGGTGCATTCTCATGTGGCCAGCGGCGAAGGAAAGCTGGGGCTGAGGCGTTTTACTCCACACTTCACTCCGTGACAGTTTAAGCAGCATTCAAATACTGTCCGTTGTTCTATAGTACGTAAGACTCTGCGCATAATAGAAAAAATAAGAAATTAGGAATAAAGAATAAACCATTTCAACCTCTCAGAAATCGTACATTCCGATGTATCCGATTTCTGATAGGTTAAAATCGGAATTTATTCTTTATTCGTTCTATTTTGCGCGCAGGGTTTAACGCATACTACAGTATTTCTCTAGCTTTTCGTATACGTTTCTTTTCAAGAAGAGAGGCATCTAATCTAAGATTCGTCTGTTGTAATAGGTCTTGTTCGACTTGATTATACTTTTTACACTCAGCATCTTCACTCTCTCTCTTTTCAGCGTCAAATATATATCATCTCATTTTAAGTGTAAAAAAAGTGTAAAAAAAGCAAGTCGAACAGACCAATTGTCTTAATGAGTTACAGAATAGGGGCACAGGGCTCCTGTTCTATTGAATTATAACAATTGTACAATTGGAAAAACATGCACTGCCGTGCTAATGCATTAGTTGAAAAAGTTTGTAAACTAGACGAGAAACATGGACGAGATAGCATGATGTACAATAATTTGATGGGTATACCTTTCTCTTTTCAACTATCTGCGCATGCGCATAACGTAACGTTACATTCATACTCAAAAGTTAAATTCATTTTCTTTTTTTTTTTTAGCCTTATATCTAGCTGACATTACTCTTATATCAATATATTACAATTATTATCTCCATCTGATGTATATCTAAGTAATTTATTTTATTCATACAACACTTTTGTTTTAAATCACTCACATATCTATTCCTACTTACCGGTACTTAAAAACTTAACTTTCGAACTTGACTATACGACAAAGAGAGGTATACTCGCAATTTGCTCTTTCGTCAAGGGAACTTGACAGAAATATAACAGTAAAGGGTAAAACAGCAGTTTTTTTAGAATATAATTCTCTGCTTTAAAAACATATTCTCTACTTCAAAAACATCAAAATTATATAAGGAAATAATTCGTGTTTTTAAAGTACAGATTTTGTAAAGCAGAGAACATGATTGTGAATTATGATATTAAAAATAATTACTCTTTTATATTAATTGAAATTTAGATCTAACATTTTTTTAAGTAGAGAATTTGTTTTTAATATACAGAGATAATATCCTAAAGAACCGCTATTTAACCCTTTACTGTTATTTTTCTGTTGTTTACTTCTTTTATACAATATATAGTCAGGTTCGGAATGCAAGTTTGCTCACCGAGCATCACCAGTGCGATTGGTTCTTATTCATCGATCGACAAGTAAGAACCAATCACTCGGTGAGTAGGCTGCATTTCGAAATCCATTTAAAAAAAGTGTTGCAATCTTTTAGGCGAAATCCATTTAAAAAAAAATGTTGCAACCTTTTAGGCCTTAACTATACATAACAGAGAACAACAGAAAAATAACAGTACAGGATTAAATAGCAATTCTTTAGAATATTGGGTCATCTAAAAAGTATCCGCGGTTTTTTGTTACTAGATGTGTGTTGATCATATATCTAGTGACAAAGTACCGCGGATACTTTTTAGATGACCCAATATTTTCTACTTTAAAAACAAATTCTCTATTTAAAAAATGTTAGATTTAAATTTCAATTCACATAAAAAGGTACTTGTTTTTAATATCAATTTAATTCAATCACTCGTTCACAATCATATTCTCTGCTTTACAAACACAAATTATTTCCTTATATAATTTTGACGTTATTAAAATAGAGACCTTTTATACCCTTTTCTATTATGTTTACAACAGTGGCGTAACAGAGAGTACAGTCACAGTGCATGCACATGTGATCAAAATGTACTGTCTTGTTAGTACGACAGATTTCCTAACCTAAATTGTCGTCGTTTTAACGCTTAATATCTCGATTCATGGAACCGTAGCTTTTTTTGCCAGATTCTTTCATTTCGAACAAAAACGCGTTGAATAAGCCTAATTTCATCAAAATTGGAGGTGCAGTCCGTATTCTAAATAGTTGTCATATTTATGTTTTTACAAATTATAAACCTAGATTAATTTCAAACATTATTTTAGACAGTTTAAATAAATAAACATTAAGCACTGCCTTTGCATGTTATTTATAGTTGTTAAGAACTACTGGCAGTTCTTCAGACGATAATTCCTCGCATCTATAATTTTGCATTGCCTGTACAGTTGCAGGTTTTTCAGAGGGATATATTCTATTAATTTCTGAAATCAGCTCTGATGTTGGTTTTAATATCGTATGATTAGCAAATGTGTCCTGTGGAAGCATTTGATTATCTAGTAGTTTATTTATGACTGTATCACTCGTATCAATAGAATGAGCTGGACCATAATCTGGCCTCTTTGGTTTTTCCTCTGTAATGCAAATATAATAATAAGAGAAAATTATTAAACTCTAAAAGAAATAAAAAAAAGTTTTATACATATATAATTATAAACTTTACGTTTTAATATATCACATGCCACATAATCAGCAGCTCTAAATAGCTCTGCTTTTACAAGAAGTTCTTGTAATAATTTTAATGTTGGTCTCTTTTTCTCCATAGTACTCCACTCATCCAAAAATATTTGAGCTGCGTTGCGTTTATCGCTATTTGCCATTTGTTCAATGATGCTAATCATGGAATGATTACAATGATATATTATAATGTAACAGTTAAAATAATTGTTATTTTTAATAATAATCTTAAGAAAAATATGCATTTAATTTCTAAAAATCTTTTCATAATACTAATAAAAAAGCACATTGAAATATCCTTCGATTTCGATGGGCTTTTAATATAGGTACCCAATTTACTACTGTACAGTAATAGACTGTACTGTACTGGATAGTTTGATAAAAAATTATCTAAACTTGGTATCTATTGAAATATCTTATAAGTTACCTGATATGATCACTACTAAATTTGGGAACATTTCCTTTTTTAGCCACAATAGACATTAATTTCTTCCACGAATCAGAAATGCTTAATATACTTGCTAAAGTATATAACTCAGCGGGCCTCAATTTTCGTATTTCCATATCCAAATGTGCTTTATAAGACATTTTCAGCGATAATATATAAACAATATTATAAAACAAATTTTCATCGAAATTATAGAGGTTATTTTCGGATATTTACTGCAAATGGTCGCGTTCAGTAGACGAATAGACTCAATCACATGCGACGCGACAAACCTCTTCTAGTGGCGTAAAAAATATTTTTTATATAACTACGCCCGTATCGCCCAGCTGATTGGTTGCTGCTTCCGTGAATTCCGTTCACTTCCGCTGCTTGATGCTTGACGTTTGCATGTGAATGGCACCTGCTTAAATGTGGTAGCTACTGGTCGCGCTAAACCGCCGACTGATGGCGTTGATCGCGATATCGTAAATCGTCCATCGTCCCCGATTGGCAATTTAGTATCCTTGGTTTCTACTTCTATGCTGTACATACATACTTTGTATAGTCGATGGTAGTTGTCAGTACCAGTATTGCACATCATTGTCTGACAAGTATTTCGTGTAAATTCACGAATTAATTCTCGGTGTTTAATTGAGTAATACTATAATCTATATCTTTTTTAATTAAGGGGATTGATATTAAAAATGGTAAGTATTTAATTAATTATCGATACATTGTGCTTCGATACTTGTATTTTAATCATCATTGTAAAGAAGTTATAGATCAAAAATTATTATTTTTATGGTTATGTACATTTGCACATAGTAATGTAGAAATACACAACTATTGATTAAAGACATAGAGAAAAAGTCTAGTAATCTAATCATACGAAAAATGTATGTAACGTTGTTCATTGTTTAGATTGAATAATATTTAATGATTAACATGCACACACAATTATTTGTGTTAATTGATTTTAAATATGTAAATGATTTCTATTAATTCGATTATTGAATATATTTCTTAGTTCCGCAATCAGTACGATAGTGATGTGACAGTATGGAGTCCACAAGGACGATTACATCAAGTGGAATATGCTATGGAAGCTGTAAAACTAGGATCAGCTACTGTAGGTCTTAAGAGTAAAACACACGCCGTTCTTATTGCATTGAAAAGAGCATCGTCGGAATTATCAGCTCATCAGAAAAAAATCATACCAATAGATAAACACATGGGAATTAGTATCTCAGGTTTAACTGCTGATGCAAGAATATTGAGGTGAACTTTGTGTTTGCTCATTTTCCTATTCCAGTCTCCATTTCTAGATTCTCCATTTAAAAAATACAATATCTTTGTATATTAAATATCCATTTTAATTATGTCTTAATCCTTTCTCTATAGTAAAGTTTGCCACCACTATGCTATATTGATTGTATTTTGCCATGAATAGTCTCTCTCTCTCTCTCTCTCTCTCTAACGTCTGTTATCTTATTACATTATGCAATTTATTGGTTTCTTCTATTTAAGTTATTTCAAATTATTAATGTTTTCGATAAAATGTTAATACTTTAAGCACAAGTATTTTTAATACATTTTAATATGTATATAAAAGTAATTATTTAATTTTATTTATATCTATCTTGGCTGTACCTTATAATATTTCTTGCTATGCTATGACAGTTTTAATGATGATCACTATAGCCTTCACACACAGATATAGGTTTATGCATGAGAGAGTAAAGAGTCCTCTACATAGAAGTCGTAGATTTCATGACCATCTATAACTTCTATGTATAGAACCCTTAAGAATACATGTTTTAATAGACATAATGATGGTTAAAAGCAAATTATTTTTCGCAGCCGTTATATGCGAACTGAATGCCTAAATTACAAGTATGCTCATGACCATGCGTTACCTGTAAGTCGTCTAATTACATCTCTGGGAAATAAAATGCAAACATGCACGCAAAGATATGATCGACGCCCATACGGCGTCGGTTTACTCGTAGCTGGATATGATGTGAGAATTTATTGAAAATAGTGTACAATTCAGTATATGCTAAACATGTTTCTCTAATAATAGTCGCTTCCTAGGACAAAGGACCGCATATATATCAGACATGTCCATCTGCAAATTACTTCGACTGTAAAGCGATGGCTATAGGCGCACGTTCCCAAAGTGCAAGGACATATTTAGAAAAGCACCTAAATGAATTCTTGTCGTGCGACCTTGACGAATTAGTCAAGCATGGCCTTAGAGCATTACGTGACACTTTACCTAACGAAGTTGATTTATCAGTGAAGGTAAGTATAGACTTGATCTAACTCATATCTTATTAAAATAAGTTTCCGAAGTATATCATTGTCATCTCATGCTCCTTCATATGATTAACGATCTTTAATTTTTCAATAAATTTATAAAATGAAGGCCTACATGGAATGAGGATTGAGATCAAACTCAGGAAAAAACTCGTAGATTGAGTCAATTGTTCTCACACGTCATATGCCATTCCATGATCTAACAGCTAACTGATTTATACAAGATGTCCAATTTAAGTCTATCATTTCTTTTATCTTTGCAGAACAAGATTGAATCAAAGATATGTTCAGATAAAAATTGTATGGCTTGACAGAGCACAAATAGTGTAAAATCAATTTTCGAAAAAAATCGATTTTCCATGGTTATATAAAAATCATGGTTATGGTCATACATTTTTTTAGTATGATTCCTCCAATTACTCTATAATTATCTAAAGATGCCTTAATTTTTGATCGAAAAATTAATAATTTATGAAATATCTATTTTGGCACATTTTGACATGAAGTATTTTATAAAGTATTTAGTTCTCGATAATTCTACGCGTTAATACTTTTGTGCACAGAATAATGAGATGAATCAATTTGAAGAAAAAGATACATATACAGGGTATTCCGAAATTCGAGGATAATATTATTACAGCGTGAAACTGAAAAATTAAGTAATAAAAGTGTAAGCTACTTGTTTTCCATAAAGTAATTTTTTAGGTACAAACGTTTAAAATTTAAAATTTTATTAAACCTTAGTTAAAAAGTCTGTCTGTGTGACAGTGTGCATTTAACGGCAATGATTATGTTTACATCGACACTCTTAATCGGATTTAATGACATCCATAGTTATGAAACTGTCCAGTCATAGCTATTTCTCTGAAGAATGGGATGGCTGATTAGCCAGTTTCCAACTATGGATGTTATTAAACCCGATTAACATGGACAAAGACACAACTTTTCATAGTTTATAATTCAAAAATTATTTGATCTCTCGACATTTCCACATTAGAATGTTTTACTCCAGAGTACGCTAGTAATACATGATATGGTTTGTGAAAATACATACTGCATATTGTTAGATGCGGTATGTGCAGTAAATTGTAAAATATCTGCTATAAGAATCTTATTAGGTGTTGGAATTAATTCGTAGCGTTTTACAAGTGATGGGAAGTACTTTCATTAATGTATTTTTTAATGCTCATGTGAAATAAATAACATTCTTTCATTAAAAAACGCTACGAATTAATTCCAACACCTAATAATATTTAATTTTAAGAATCAATTTTGATTTGAAAAGGAGACATCAAATCTTGCTTATGTTTCAGAATGTATCAATTGGGATAGTAGGAAAGGATTATGATTTCGCTATTCTCAACGAAACCACGACAGCTAGTTTCTTGTCCCAGATTGAAGGAGATGATAAACGTGGAAGACCTACTGAACCAGCTGTACAAGATGACAAACCTCCGCAAGATCCGCCAGCCGACGAAGGTCCTCAGGATCCTCAAGTCGCCATCGCCATGGACACAGATTAAATTAGTATATATGAACTTTAAACTTTATATGCATTCAATTTATATAAATCTGCATTTTCTGATTAAATATCTCAATTTTTTCATAAATCTACACGCTACAGAACATTTATTATCAGTTTGTTAACAGTAATATATATTGTTATTCGAATCATTTTATCATTAGATTGTAATGATTTCTTTTCATGGTGTTTTCGAATTCATTATTTATATTGATTTCCTATCTTGTGTCTCGATTAAACATTTATCTACACTTCCGTATTTTTCATTCACGATGTAACATGATCATCAATCTGCTGGTTCTTCCGTTGTTTTAATATATTTGTTAAAAAATATTCTCCGGCCTTATAAGATGACCGAACTAATGGTCCACTGGCAGTATACAAGAAGCCTAGTTGATTCCCCATATTTTCCCACGCTTTAAATTTCTCAGGTGTTATATACTCAATGACTCTTAAGTGTCTTTTGGTAGGTTGCATGTACTGTCCCAATGTTATAGCATCCACATTAGCGTCCTTTAGATCTTGCATAGTTTGTTCGACTTCCTGGTCAGTTTCACCTAGCCCCAGCATTATCGATGATTTCGTAATCAAATCGGGATTTAACTTTTTAGCTGCTTTTAATACAGCCAATGACTGTCTGTATGTAGCAAACAACAAATTAATTCAAATTAATAAACGTATTATTAATAGATATCTATCTATATATTAAATCATATAGCGTTATTTCTGATGAAAACTGAGTCGAAAAGTCCTTAACAATTTTGTAATTTTCGCAATAGTTGACGGAATATTAATTTCTAAAGATTGCCGATCTGAATTGAAAATGAACCGATCTTTCGCAGCTTATTAAAAGTCAACGTTTCGTCGACAATGACTCGCTGATTCAGCACTTTTATGTTTGGGAATCGCATACTCTCGCATCACCGCCTCTCTAGCATTACCGTCGCAGAAACCATACACGAAAATCACGTCAGCGTTAGAATATTATGTACGCCCACGTATTATGACAGGAGTAATTTACTCGATGGTTTATGATGAATAACTGACGAATTTATAGGAGAACGGTAGATATGTAAACAAACAAAACGTTTTCTTCAAAAAACGAAATATTATCGTTTTGATGTACTTCGATAATATTAAGTATAGTAAAAAGAAATCCATTATTTTTCCAATAGATGGTTTTAGTAATCTGTATTTCGTCTACGCGTGAAAGCCACCTATTGGAAAAATAATGGATTTCTTTTTACTACACCTAATACTTTAGAGGCAGAGTGCGCGCCGATTTCCAAACAGAAGAGAGTGTCGGATCGACGAGTCATTACGTTGACCAGATCAGTGTTTGGCTGCTATATACGAGCTGTTCATACAAGATGCAATGCATGCATTGCTGCAAGAGGTCAACATTTTGAATAATGTTTGCATTAAACAAGTGAATAAATAAGTGTGAATGAACAAGTAATAAATAAGTACAAAACTCAAAACGTTTTGTCTCTTTCTGTAATTTTCTCTAAAATGATTTCTAAAGGACTTTTTTTTTAATTTATCGATTTTCTATACGCTTCTGAGATTTGGCCATTTAAATTCACGAAACAATAATTATACATATAATTATTATAATGGTACATTATAATAATATACATACCTATATCGAGCGCGCATATCACGAACAAAGGGAGTTAAACGCTCTACTGTTTCGATATTATGTGCAAATACATCTAAATTAGAATTTACAATTGTAGCGATACAATTTTCATCACCTCTGAAGTCTGGTACCAAGCATTCCACTAATATATTGCTCCTATGAAACATAAAGTATTTCAATGCTATATGATTTGAACACTAACTATTGCTTGATTCGTTTTATTAAATAAAAAAAAAACTAACTGTAGATAAAATACCTCTTTTTTATTTCCTTAACAGTAGATGCAATATGGTTAGCTCCACCATCCTTTAAATCTGAAATAATAAATGTCGCGTTAATAATAAATTCTGAACCTATGGGCGGTATTCATAGTCCATTCTTATTTTAAGACTTTCTGTTTGGTTTATGACATCTTAATGACCGGCATAGATTTTTGCATAATGCATAGTGCATAAAAGAATCAACCAATTAAAGTTCTTCTTTTCCATGAAGTGAATACCGGCCTATAATAGTACAATTTAATTTTATAGTTTATGACTAGTCACATTTAGCAGAATATTTTGCAACTTTGGAGATTTTCTTCGTGTTGATTGGAGATTATACTTTTAGATTATACTTTTCTGAAGATATAACCCAATCCAGGGTGAAGAAAACTTCCAATGTTGCAAAATAAATATTCAGCCGAACACATCCATTAATCTGTAACTAACCATCACGATCTACAGATGTTAAAACAATATAATCCAAATTCCAAGCAGCTACTGCGCTAGCAGTATTGATGGGCTCCTCTACATCCAACGGCGGTGGTTTACGTGCAGTTTTGACAGAGCAGAAACGACAGCCACGAGTGCACGTGTCTCCCATTAACTAAGAGAATAAAGGATGTATATCAATTGGACACGAGCCAATAACGCACAAACTAATCAGCGTTAGAAAAAAAAATAAGGAAAACTTATGCAGAAGTCGCTATTGACTATGTTTACACGGTATCCTTAATTGGGTTTAATGACATCCGTAGTTATGAAATTGAAATCAATCATAGCTGTTCCTTCGAAGAATGGAACGACTGTAATTGATCAGTTTCATAACTACGGATGTTATTAAACTTGATTAAGAGTGCTGTGTAAATGTAGTCATTATTGACTGACAGCAGGCAATTGCTACAGTGTGCAAGTAAACCATTCGCGATAATCAATCTATTGTTATCTTGGCACAGGAACCCGGACCGAAATGAAATTTGATCAATTTTTGATCAATTTCTTAAGGTTGAGGCTACTACAGCTATTGTGTTTGCGTGATTAAGGCTTAATCCTACATTGCGTTTGCGAAATAAAGACGTGATCAGACTATGCATTGAAGATTGAGATTGAGAATCTCTTTCATCACTCACAGTTATGCTAACCGACTTACATGAGTCCACTGAACAAGCCTCATGTAACGTCAGTTAACTTAACTGAGGTTAGTGAAAGAAACTTTGAGATTGTTCAATCACACTGTAAATTCTAATCAACAGCAGTTAAGATTGAGATTAGTAAGAGTGTGGAACAGAGAGGTTCTCGGATCTCTCTGTTTTGCAACCAATTAACAGGCTTAAAAAGCCTTGTCGATCGCCACATAAAATATTAGGCTCACACTGTAAACACAGTAAGTGTAATAAACCTTAAGAAATTGATCGCTCATAGTCGAATGTGAGAAGAATAATTGGCTATGATTCCCATCAATCTCCTGAGGCTGGAATCAGACTAGGCATGGAAGATTAATAGCAGGTTTGTACCAATCTGAATTGGATTATTAATGACATTGTTTTCCTATTGGTAGAACACATGTAACATCAACCAATAACAGTTTAGTAATAAATAGAACAATATCCAATCTAAATCAGTGTAAACCCCTCTGGTAAAAAAAATGCTACAAGATTGAAATTTGACCAATTGAATAATATATGTATAGGAGCTAAAACTTCTTTGTCCTCATTGATCGAATCTCAATTTTTCATATAATTCATTTAATCAGAGCGAGAAGCATTGGTATGTCCTTTATTTATTATACAAACCATAATAGTGGCTGTTGCTGTACCGTGAGTGCTTCCACCCCAGCATTCTCCGATGTTAGGACACCTGGCTTCTTCGCAAACCGTACTTAGTCGTAATTGCCTCAGTTGCGCTTTTATCCTACTGTAACTCTTAGCCGCCCCGACTCACCTATCTCTAATTTTAACTTGCCATTATAGTTTTGAACATTGTTTTTGAGAAAGTCGTCAAATTGTGGACCTTCCGCTAGTTTCTCGGAGAATTTACCTTTGTTACTCTCTGTTGAAGCTTGCGCACACTGAAATATTAAATTTTCGTTAGAACCATTTCAGATACGAATATTTACATAATTCAATATTGCGATGACTAGGGTTTAAGACTAGCTAGAAATGTTTAAACACATTCCGGAAATGAAACAAATTGTTGAAATTTACCGCCAGGTAAAAGTGGCAACTGAGGATGCATTTGGAATTTCTGGTCTTGATTGTTCGTAACATGTTTTTAGAGTGTATAAACGGTCTTCCTATTCGACAATGATTCTCGCCCCGTCAGAACTTTTTTTGACCAGTATATTTACGTCTTTACGATGAAAAATCATATATCAGCTATAAAAAAAGAGATGATTAGGAACGATTCATGTAATGTTTTTCAATAATTTTACCAAGAATGGGTTTTTACTCAAAGATTCTTTCTCACTGATTTCGAATGAAATTAGACTCACGATGCGTTTTTACACAAAATGAATGACTCTAACAGAAAAAAGTATTGCTCTGCCCTATTGCTATGAACCGAGATAATAAGCATCAAAATAAAGTTGACGAGACTATTCAGGTTAGGAAATCTGTCACAGCCATGCAACGATTCGTTCGCGTTGCTTGTTCTTTTGATTTGCACTCGACATCTTCACTTTCTCTCTTCTCAAGGTGAAATATCTCATTCATCTATCTCATTTTAAGTGCAGAAATATATGGGGATTTCATGCAACACGAATAGATTTATTGGGCGCATTCAGAACAGCAGACAACCACTCATTGAACGTTCAGTTAACATGTTAACAGTTTTTATTTGTCGAATACGACAGGCCCATGGCCTATGATACGACAATAATCTGAAAAAGTTCGCACCCAGTATGCACTAGCATGCACTCAGTGCAGTCTTCATCTGCCCCGAATTTAATCGGAGTATTAATCGGAGTTGATAATAGTGAGGTTGCGTTAATCTTGATGATGCACGTATTAACTAGTAACTTTTTATTAAATTGTCTTAATTTCAAGTACATCATTCTTTAAATACAATATTTAAAGAATGATGTACTAAACCGAAAATATGCACTAAAATGATTAATTAAATACTCATATTACGTATATGTTTATACGTATTGCTGAAATTGAGATAATTCAATAGAAAATTATAATACCCGTATAGTATTCCGTATTAAGTGTACATTGTAAACTAGGCCATATATACATATGTACTACATACATACATACACACACACGTATATATACTATATATATATATATATATATATATATGTACATATGAGCATGCGCCGCACCCCCAATCATGACATGACAGTCATATGATTTTAGAAGAGGACGTGCATCGATATCTAACTTGATATAGGATTTTTACGTCAATATCTTTGAGGAAATTTGTATTTCGAAATGAAGGGGTGCTTATTCAACATCGACGGCGGTTACCTGGAGGGTTTGTGTCGTGGTTTCAAATGTGGCATACTTCAACAGAGCGATTATTTGAATCTAGTCCAATGCGAAACACTTGAAGGTACTTATTCGATTCACTTGATCGGTCGACAAATATAATCTTTCCAGAACGTTTTAAACGTATATTTAATTAAAAAAGATATTTAATATTTTTACAAGGTGTAATTTTTTACTTTGTAAAAAATATAGTTTTAAGAACATTAAAAAAGAAAAACTAAAATCTTTATTAAACGCACGAAAAATCAATTTTCATTCGATTTGTTCCTCTTTAATAAATTTATTCTTTCTTCTCGCTTAAACTAATCGATTGTCTATTTAGATTTGAAGTTACACTTGGCTGGTACAGATTATGGCAGCTTTTTAGCCAATGAGCCATCTCCGCTTTCTGTTAGCGTGATTGATGACAAATTGAGGGAGAAACTGGTTGTGGAATTTCAGCATATGCGCAATCATTCCGTCGAGCCTCTGTCTCAATTTTTGGATTTTATCACTTATAGTTACATGATCGACAATATCATTTTGTTAATTACTGGTACTTTGCATCAACGGCCTATTTCAGAATTGATTCCAAAATGTCATCCACTTGGCAGTTTTGAGCAAATGGAAGCGATTCATGTTGCTGCCACACCTGCCGAATTGTATAATGCAGTACTGGTAGATACACCTTTAGGTATTGGAATTATATTTCTTACTTGTTTATAATATTGTTCCGTATCCTATCATATTGTATACGTATACTATACTATAGGTATATGAGCATTACACGATATAAGTTACCTTTCTGAACTATAAGTAACAATTATATCTTGTTGTAGCACCTTTTTTTGTGGATTGCATTTCTGAACAAGATTTAGATGAGATGAATATCGAAATAATACGAAACACGCTCTATAAGGCATATCTGGAAGCGTTTTATAAATTTTGTAAAGAACTTGGTGGTACAACTGCAGATACTATGTGTGAAATACTTGCCGTAAGATATTGTTCGAATAAAATCATGAGACTATTACTTTGTAAAATTATACTCGATTTTCATCTTTATATTACAGTTTGAAGCAGATAGAAGAGCGATCATTATAACCATCAATTCATTTGGCACTGAATTAGGTAAAGATGACCGTGCAAAATTATATCCACGCTGTGGACGTTTGAATCCAGATGGACTGGCAGCCTTAGCGAGAGCTGATGATTACGAACAAGTGAAAGCTGTAGCAGAATATTATGCCGTGAGTAAAAGTTTAAATACATAGTTCAATTAGCTATTTAGGTACCTTTACATACAAGTATCAAACGTTAGAGAGTGCGCGGTGATTTATTCAATAATTTTACTGAACTATGACTCATTTAATAATTAAATTCAATATGTCAACACTCCTACTAGTGGAATCATGTAGTATACATATAATGTAAATAGCTATAAATTTTCAGTGTTATATGTGATGACAGTAGTATATATCAAAATCAGGGCTGTATTTAAAATATTTTTATTTGGAAAACGGTACTTGTAAGACAATTGTATTTTGTATTTTAGGAAAGCGTATAAAAATCTTATTAGAATCTTATTATTTGAATTACAAAGTAGAAAAAACTTTCAATCCTTTGATTTTAAATACAAAATACGTAATACTTGCATGTGACTCGCTGAAATACAAAATACAATACAATAGTATTGCAAATGTGTTTTAGATAAAAAAAAGTATCTATTTCCAATACAGCCTGATCAGAACCTGTCGCAATTCATGTTACATGTCGTTATCATTTTACATTAAAAAGCTGGAGATTTACAATCAGGAGATTTACAATCGCGCATAATAAATTTCTGCAGATGCTCGGCACTTGATGCTGTCATCAATGGCACATCAAAATAAATTTTTATTTCTACAATAGTATTAGCATTTTATTTTCTTTTCTATTTTACTTTCTATATATCGCATGTATGTGTATGGAAGACGCAAGCCTTTTAAAGTTAAGGGTTCACTTAAAAGTGGAATATATTATATCCAAGTGTTTCAGACTATCCTATTTAAAAACGAGAGAAATGGTTATTTTGAAAAATATTTCAGGCAAAAGTTGTTAGGAATCAAGTAATGCATTCCCATTTAAAAAATTTAAATCGACCTCGATACGATTCGATCTTCACGACGCCACTAAAGGTCAATCGCATATGCCATATAATGCATTATTTGAACTCTAACAACTTTTGTTTTAAATTTGAATATTTTGAGATATTCTACTGAATGGATAAAAATGGATTAATATACTGTATACTTATATGTAATTACAATTACAATATTTAAACAGGAATACAGCGCCTTATTTGAAGGCGCGGGTAATAATCCTGGTGATAAGACCTTGGAAGATAAATTCTTCGAACATGAGGCAAGTGCATTTATTGTAATATAAAAAATATTCATAATATGCAAATTAATAATTTAATATAAATTTACACACGCACACGCATGCACGCACGCGCGCGCGTGCGCGCGCGCACACACACACACACATTTTATTTACATATATATATGAATATATGTATATATAATTCGATTTTAATTTTTTATATGTATAGGTTCGTTTAAACGTCCATGCATTCCTTCAACAATTTCATTTTGGAGTGTTCTATAGCTACTTGAAATTGAAGGAGCAAGAGTGTCGTAATATTGTATGGATCGCGGAATGTGTTGCTCAAAAACATCGGGCTAAAATAGATAATTACATCCCTATCTTTTAAATATGCATAAACCGATAATATCGATTATTTACGTCTCAATGTAATCTAATTTTCTTTTGCATAATATAAAATTATGCGGTAATAATCTAACTATTATTAGAAAAGCTTTTAAAAGTTATTTGTGTAATAATATTATCACACAAAAATTTATTTTAGAAAATCGAATAGACACGTACAAGTATAAAGGAATATCTCATTTTAATCGATCAACTCCTACAATATTCTTCATTTTTAATTTTACAGAAAAAAATGTTGAGATAAAAGGTATAATTTGAAAGGACGTAAATAATGATAAAATCAGTTAAAAGATCAATATTTTATCGTCATTTTTTAATGGAATTGTATATTTTTTTCACATAAATGATTTTTCTTTAGTTATTCTATATATAAATGTATTAGGTAAAGCTATCAAAAAATCAAATAGTTACGAGAAATACTTTACAAAAATACTTTATTTAACAACTTTACGAGAGATATTTTATGCTTTATTTAGCACATTTGGACATAAAACATAAAATATCTTTTAAATTAATATTTTCTTATAATAGTGTTAATATTTTTATGCAGAATGTAATGAAATGAATCAATTGGTGTAAAGGAAATGTATATTTGCTTTAAAAAAACATTTAGTTGCATATTGTAAAACGCATACATTTTTAAATAAGCAACCATATTTTTTTTTACACCAATTGATTCATGTCATTATTATGCGTATAAACAATATTAAGGTATGATTATCAATAAATTAATAGTTTACGAGATATTTTATATTCCATGTCAATATGTACCGGATTGAAAGTATAAAATAATTTTAAAAGTATAATTTTTTTCGATATCTCGATGTTAATTCTTTTATATTAGTAGTATTATTAGAGGAATCATATTACGTAAAAACAAATATCATATAATTCCATTAAAAAATGGCGATAATCTTCAAAAAATTGATTTATTTCAAAAATTAATTTTATTATTATTTACTCCTTTAAACCATACAATTCTCGCCTAAATCTTTTTCTGTAAAAAACTAAAAACAAACAAAATTTTGGGGTCGATTAAAATGGGACCTGTATATAATTATTGAACTTTGATAAGCCACTTGCACATATTAAAAATTATGATTTAGCATTGTTATTATAAGACAAAATAGCAAAATCTATATGTACATAATATATAATTTTGATCTTCAATATAAATCATTACCACGTATTATTGTAATGATTAATATAATATATAAAATAAATGAAAATATAAATGTATTCCATATAATTAATAACACAATCACTAATTCCATAATTTCTATACGTACAATGTGTATCATAATTTCCCACTTTTTTTATATATAAAATCAGTGCGGCAGTGATAATACGTAAGGAAAATTCCATAAACAAAACGAATGACGAGGGCAATTGGGAATTGGCGCTGTAATAATTTTGCTGTAAAGAAGCTTTATCTTAATAACGAAAAAAAAAATCGTACATACTAATCTTTTAGCCTTTTTCAACGAAACAATATAAAAAATTATTACAGTTAATTGAGATGCATTCGTTCATAATCATTGTGTGACAGTAACCATTCCTCCATTATAGAACAAACTCACCAGTTGAAAGAAAGACTGAGTGGTAGCGAATGACTAAGAATCTTTAACTTGTAAACGTCTTAATTAAGGAAAAATTTAATATTGATCATTATAAATTTACCCTATAATAACGTGACCAATGACCAAAATCGTCGTGCAATTATTTTGATCTCAATTTGATACAATAATATCAATATAATTAAAAACGTAGTCAATGAATAAAACCATATTGAAATTAAAAAAGTGTCCACACCACTATCAAAAATGTAAATAATTTAACAGGATAATAAAGACAGTTTTTATGCAACCTATGGCTATATTAAAGATGTACTGACGAATGTACCCAAAATTCTCCACTGAAGTAAATGAAATGTCGCAAAATATTATAAATATATAATATATAGTATATTTTAAGTTATTTAAAAAGGAGGGTTTATGTTTTGTCTAGAACTTTGACGTTCGTTTGTCGATTGATACAATTCTTCTGTCTCTTGATATGTATTATCTTAGACATAATCTTATTATAATCATGTTCACAGTCTAAAATGTCAACCCAGTCTAAATCATGACTACGCTGCAATCTATGGTCAGTTATTAATGAAAGAGTATAAGACGGATATGTTGTATTCCGAGATTCTGGTTTTTAATTGCCCGCACGTCTATTTAACAGGTTACATTATTACAAGATATTCTTAAACAATATTTTTAGATAACGGCGGAAGAGGGTCTTTGTGAACTCTAATAACACCATGAAGCTTGTTAATGTTTAAAAAAAAAATCTAGAGTCTAATTCCCAATTGCTTTCGTCATTCGTTTTGTTTATAGAATTTGTTATCTTGGGAATTTCGTCAAAATAATGATTGATTAACAGCAGCTTTTTTTATTCTAATAATAGGATTGTTAATTATTTATATAAAGACGGACTTTTAAAGACGGATATTCTACAAGTATGAAGGATCATTTTCATTCTGTTTGAATTTATCATTGAATTTATTAACAAATTCATTTATCAATCTTTATACTCGTTTCTCGTATCTTATTTCTTAAACACATTTCTTATTGTTATGCTACATATCTTGAAACGTAACAATTGATCCTTTCAAAGACTAAAGAAGTGTTTATTTTTTATGGTGTTCTTCTATTTGGTTCTCAGGATTTTTCCTCTTGCAATAGACAATCTGTTACTATCACGTATAGATATAGTTCCAATTCAACTTTATTATATACAAAAAAACAAAGTACAAACTTATTTCCTACAAATACGTTCACTCTCACACTGCATTTGATTTCCATTTGTTTCTCTGCTTTTATTAGAATGCGTTTCTTCATTGACTGAATTTATCACTTGTGAAGAGGAGGGTACGTTGTTCTCAAGTTTTACTATAGTAGATGAAGAAGGAGTAGACACGGACATTGTACTTTTAAAGCTATTCGTTAAGCTTGGTGGTTGATAAGTTACTAAACTTTTCAAACCAATAACTTCAGGATTCTCTTTCCAAAAACGGTCACCGATAATATCATCTATTAAAGGAACTATAGTAGGTTTCAATCTTCCTGTACTGTCAGGTACCAATTTCCGAATAAGTGTTGTACCCTTTCGAAACAATGGCGGTTCATTATTATAGTTTATACTAAATTCTTGAAAAAGCAACTCGTTCTTATGCGATGCCAGTGTGCCCCTCAGTTTTTCCTCAGCCTGTAACATTCATAAATTATACAGATCTTTGTCTTATCACAAATATTCTATTGTATTTTATAAGAGCAAATTTAAAACTTAATATATTTTTTAGACTGGCAATTAAATTCCAAACATAATTTATATTAAAATTGTTTTCAGAAGAAAAAATTTGTTTTCTATTTACAAATTTAAAAGTAATCTGAATTCATTGAAAAGTAACATGATTGTTTTAAAATATACATTAATGATAAATATATAAATAATTATTAGGCTATAATCAATATATTAATAATTCTGTATGTGATCTACATGTAACGTACATTTTTTACCTATTTTTTATCTACTTTTCTATAAAGTCATCATTTCTTTTTTTTACTTGTCATACACAGCAACTTTTTCATACCTTTCTTCCATAAGAATCCGTCGCCTAGATTCTATTCTACCACTTCTTAAAATAAAGAAAAACAACGGATTGTCAGGAATTATGCTTAACTCAAAAAATTCAACAATATAAACTTTTCAAATACCTTCCATATAATCCAAGCTTTGATGAGGGAAATCCCAGAAGTGTTTATCGAGTTTTTCGATGTTTATTTTTTTTTAATGATTCTTGAAGGCAAAAAAATATACGTGGAGCGGCGTTTATCAACTTGCGACTTTATTTTTGAGTTATAAATTTTTGAAAAATTGAACTATCATTCTAGCGAATCGGATTCGCATTCGAGGTTCAGCAACTTTTCTCTTTCTTTAAAATATATGTTCTGTTGTGTTTATTAATTCTTTCAAACAATTAGAATATTAATATCATAATATTCTCTACAAAAGCAATATTAAACCGTTTCTAAATGGTTGAAAGATATAGTTTCGCAAACAAAAACTATTAACGGCACGTTTCGAAATAACGGAACCTCTATTTATTGTAAAAAAAAAGTTTTCTAAACGTTTCCTTCATAAACTTTCCTTGATAAACTTTCCTTGAAGAACAAGCGTGATTTGAATTTCTCGGATTTTAAAAAATTTATAATTCGAAGACGAAACCGCATGTTAATAAATGCTGCGACATGTGTTATGTTTTTTGGCCTCAAGAATCATAAAAAAAATTGATTGGTATTGAAAAACTTAAACACTTCTCTTTGTAAGTATACATTTTCACATTTTCCTTTATCTCAAGAAATACTTTGAACCTCAGTGATCAAATAAGGAATGAAAAGCAGCAGTACTGAGCTGTATTCTCAGATAGCAAATTTCTATATGAAAAAGTTAGCGTTCCGATTAAAAAAAAAAAAAAAAAAAATATATATATATACTTCAGAAAAAATGCGAATCCTTTCACTAGCAGATTTTGGACGAAAAGTCTTATATGAAATGTCGAGGATATAATACTTTTCATTATTAAACAATTAAAGTTCGCTAGTTGTAGCGTCTGAAATTTGCACTCAGGCATGATATTTCGCGCGCGAGGTTGCGAAGATGTCCTTGTATAAAAAATTTAGAGGAAATAAGCAGCAGAGAAGCTATCAACGTCAGGGCTATGTGGCTTGGTGATAGGACGGAAATCTATTAATATGGAGGAGACCAGGCCTCGATTCGAATCCTGAAGCGCTCTGATGTTTGATATAAAAGTCGTTTATTTCTTACACTTGTACAGTGGGTCACAGAAAAATAGCGATACTTTTTCAATGGCTTTCAGAATTCAGCTTTACTCGTAAAACGATTGAACATAAATGGTGAGATCCAAGAGTAAGATCCAATTGCTAAAACCCAGGCTGCATTTCTAAAAAAATCTACTGAAAAAAGTGCAACAACCTTTCTGTGACTCACTGTACACTGATTCGCTTTTAAATATTGACATAATTGTGATGCGCTTACTGTAAAGATGCTTAATTGAAATTCATATTTTAAAGTATTTATGATGTTATAAAATAAGTGCTTTAAAATAAGATGATTATTGTAGAGTTTTTCTACATTGGTAATTTTATAAAAAAGATTGAATATGTCAAATACCGGGAAAATAGGAAAAAATTCGAAAAAGTATGCAAATGTTAGTCGAATGTATTTTAATGTATTTATATACAATAAGTTGTCGACACATTGTTAGCCCAGCAATTGCAATTGCGATGCAATATTAAAAGGTGAGAAAAATGGTGTTAATTTTGTAGAAAATGTATATACTTTTAACATTAATAGAATTAAGCATACCATTCTTTCAGACATGAGATATTTTTCAATTTTTTTTTGAATATTTTATTTAGATAAAGAAATAAATAGCTAAAAGAAGGTACATTCTTTCTGATCGACCGTTTGGGGATCGTTTTATTTCTACAATTTCTTATGCATTTTTCTTCATGGAAACTGAAAATTGTCATAATAATGACGCTCAAGGAAAAATTGGTACGTTGAAATGAAATTAGTAAAAAATCTTTATTCATACATTAATAATTTAAAAACTAATAGTTTTCGTAACAATGTGAATAAGGATTTTATTAACTTCGTTTCCATTTTTTCATAAGCATAGCGTCATTATAATTTTCGGTTTTCAAGAAGAAAAATACGTAAAGAAATGTAGACATAAGACATCTGAACGATCGCGAAAAAAGTATATCTTCCTTTATTCTTTATCTACATGAAATATTCACAGAAGTCGAAAAATATTTTATTTTTAAAAGAATGGTGTTCAATTTTATAAATTTTAAAAAGTGTACATGCATTTTTAAAATATAATTTATGCAATTACACCATTTTTCTTATCTTCTGATATTTCATTACAATTGCTGAACAGATAATGTATCGACAACTTATTATGTATAAATACATTAAAATTGAACTAAAATTTGTGACTTTTTCAGATTTTTTTCTTTTGCCGATTTTACATACTCAATCTTTTTTATAAATATCAATATAGGAAAACTCTACGTGATCATTCCTATTTTAAAGCTCTTACTTATAATACCTTTAACATCTTAAAACTTTTTATTTCATAAAATAATAATATTTCACAGAATCTGCCAGTGAAAGGATTCGTACTCTTTCTAAGACATCCTGTATAGAAAAGTAAAGCATATAT